ATCATTAAACTATAATTATTTATATTAATTAAAATTAAGATTTTAAATTAATTTATAATTAAATCACAATTTTTTCATCAAATTTTCTTTCTTTAACGGAAATTATAGTTTCTTGGTAACCAATCTCGACAACTAAACAAATTCAAAGCATTTTCTCAGCATCCAAACACCCAAACCATATCATTTTCCATCCAAACAAATGGAAACCTACTAAGAATTGCTTCTTTGCCCAACTGCTTCTGTTCTTTTCATTTTGAACATTGAAATCATTTTGAACATTGAAATCATTTAGACAATACTTAAAAAATATGAAGAAAAGGATCAAAAAATCCCTCACAACCTGCAACTTGCAACTTGCAACTTGGATAATCTTTTCGCAAACAAACATATAACAGAAAAAAAAATGGAGCTGGGGTTCGATGAACCCAAGCTAGGTTCCACCGAACCTAGCAGATACAGAGGAAGAAGAGGAAGAAAGAAAAAGAAAAAAAAGAAAGGAAGAAGATGATCGAAAGAGGGGAAGAAGATGGATCAAGAAAGGGAGATTGGTAAATTTATAATTTTTTTTTTATTAAGGTAAAATCGGTTTATGAGTTGGCGATGACGTGCCTTAAAAAAAATTCCAAATCAACGCTTTTTTAAATTGTTTTTGCCATGTAATCAAAAAATTATAAAAAATGCCACGTGTCGTAGTTAACGGTTTAAATTGACAAAAGGACTAACGGTGTACATTTCTTAGAGTTGAGGGATCAAAAAAATACAAAAAATTATTGAGGGACCAAAAATGTGCAACTCACTAAAGTTGAGGGACCAAATTTAGCATTTAACCTAATTTTAGTGATATTTGGAAGGCAATTTGATGATTATTTAATTTGTTCGAGGATTACTGTCCAAGTCCAACACGTATGTACTGTATTTAGTTTTAATAAGGTTATTAATCTTTAATAATTAATAGGTGCCGTAAATCCAGTCTTCACGGTAGAGGCCGATGTCGCCCCATCTGTCATTATTCTTAATTTTATAATTAATCAACTTGGATCAACATTTTTGCACATAAGTTAGATAAAGAGAATATAGAGCTTAATTACTTGATTGAAGAAAAATAGAAAAGAAAAATAGAAAAGAAAAAGAGAAAAAAAAAGGGATTATTTTAATCAATTAAATTAGGTTATTTACCTAAACTCAAAACAATCTTTAAATAATTGAAATTACAATCTATTGATTTTGGTGAAAGAAACCTATTTCTTCTTAAATAAAATTTTGAATTTATGTCTTCTAAATAAAATTTTGAATTTATGTCTACTAAATGAAGAGACTGGTGTGGAAAGAGGAGATCCCGGTGAGTATCGGGGAGACTGCAGTGTCATCTGAATCCCGTTCCTTTCATCATGCAAATGATAATTTTTCCAGTACCACAACCGAGACCACGTCCTACATTTCTTCCAATGAGAGTTTCGAAAGGAATATTACTTGTTGGCAGAAAGGTCGGCTCCTGGGCCGTGGGTCCTTCGGATCCGTGTACGAAGGGATGTCTGGGTAAGTACTGATATGCTGCCTGTTCCGTGAAGTTAAACTTTTTCTTTTTTTTTCCGTTTATGGTAGCTATTTCAGTTTAATTTCCATGAAACAATCAGCATTTTATCTATTAATTAGTTATTTACCTCACATGATTTTGTTGTTATTGATATATGATCATGTTTAGTGGGTGGGTTATCGCTATCGCCACATCCAAATTTGTTAATCCCACACTATTTTCATTTATTTAACCATATTACCCTTTATTACT